AAATGAATATTGTTTTTAAATCCTTTGGCTAGCATCAACTATTTATTTTGAAATATACATCCTCCATTTCTTGAACCAATTTTTTGCCAGACAGGCTAAAGTTATGTTCCTGACAATCTTGTTTAAAGCTTACACCTGGCAGAGTGGAAAATTCCAACAAACTGACCCAGGTCTGACTCACTGAAGCTGGAGCTTCTATGCTCTCAAAGTAACAACCATGTATTAGTATAGCAAGATACTCTTCCAGGCAAATCATTGTAGAGGAACAGCTAAGTGAGCTAATTTTTTTTCCTTTTGCCAATCAGTGGAGAAACACTTAGAACCATAGCCATACAGGGCTGGAAGAACTAGTAACACGTTCCTTGATTTTTTGACAGGGCTACCCTTTACCCATTTAAAAAATAAGATAGACTTTTAAAAATGGAGCCAGGTCTTGGGGAGGAGAGTAAATCAATCTACTCATGTTATATGATATGCTGAAGATACATAGGTAGCAATCAGATGCCCCCATTTCCCTTCTCTTTAAGAAGAACCAGAGCAAACTCAGGTGTATGTTTGAGGGATAGTGGTGAGGGAGGTGATACTCTCTCCTAGACCCCTTTCAGATGGTTTTTATGTAATGTCAGCTAGAGAGTTCATAATCACCTTTGGTAAACTCATCCCTTGCCTCACAACCCTCTTTTTTGTAAAAACGTTCTGTCTACTATGGCATTAACAGAGTTATAGAAATTGGACTTGTAGTAACATTGGATCTTATCTTCTTCAGTTTTTACCAGGGACATTTAATATTGTACTTAAGTCAATTCTCAGTTGTCTCTATGTAGACTATTTTATGGAAACTTTAAAGCAAACCAGGTTAGGGCCCCTGGCAGTTGGTGTATATTCAGAATATAGTTATTATTTACTACAAATCTGCTGCTATAGAAAAATAATGTGTTCCAATGGCAAATATAATGTGGTTTGGATCATGTATTATTTTGTGTTCTATGTTCTGCTGTAATCTTTAAAAAGGGAAACTTGACAGTTGCTTTCTCTCTAATTCAGAGTCATCCCCAAACAGCACCTTATCATTTGAATAGAAGACATTTTCATTCTAGTACAAAATGCTGGCATAAGTCCTGTCATATGTTTTTCTTCAGATTAGTTAATTTCCAAAGTTTACTATATTTTTAAATAAAAATACTTTGGACTTACTTACTGTCATCTTGCCTTTGTTCTGTAACATCCAATCTAAGTAAGAGTTTGTTTGTTGCTTCACATGAAAGTCTGCACGTTCTTGAAGATCTCCAGATTGGACTTTTGCAGTTTTCTCCTCTGATAAGGTTTCATAACTTTGGGTTTTTCTGAGATACTCTGAAGCACACTCTTAGTTCAAATGCTAACCGTCATTTGTTTGATGAAATTCAACTGATAAAGGGCCTTTAAAATTAATTTGGAGGTTTTCTCTTTTAGCCTTTGAATTTTCTCTTTCAATTGCAGACCTAGACATACCTACCTACCTACCTACCTACATACATACATGCATAGGGTATGTATAACACAAATAGATAAACCTAACTTCCTGGCTGATTGCTCGAATATTATCTGACATTTTGAGTTCAGAAAAATTGAAATGCTTTGAACTATTGGCTTGTCCTCTTAATTTTTTTTAAAAAAATTATTTTTACCTTATCTTCTTTTCTGAACATCACCCTCCTCTCCCCACCCCTCCTAGTAAGCCATTCCTTGTAACAGAGAAAAAAATAATTTCCTTATTCAGCATCTGCTATGTACATGTCATTATACTAAGTGCTGATAGGGATACAAGGAAGTGGGAAACACAGTCCCTTCCCATTCTGGTGGATGCTGCAGGGCAAGCCTCGTTGTCCATAGCCATACAGGTAGTAAATGTGGAGGTTAGATTTGAACCCAGTTCTTTTGGACACTAAATCTGGCACTTTGTGGATCATAAAACCAAGAATGTGTTGTGGCAAAGGACCTTCAAGTTCATTTAGTCCAACTTCCTCATTTTACAGATGAGGAAATGGAAGCCCAATACATTCCCACTCTCTGTTCCATATCCCAGTGGCTTCCCCCCAAATAAATGGTTTGTGTGAGTGAGCAATCACACACTTTAGTTGGCTCTTCCCAGGTCCACCCTCTCTCAGCTGCATAGTCACAGGAGCCATGCATGTTAAATGGATTACTAGATAGCAGGATTCCTTGGAGTCTTGTTGGTCATTTCCAATCTACCATCATGGCAGAGTTCTTCTTCTTCTTCTTCTTCTTCTTCTTCTTCTTCTTCTTCTTCTTCTTCTTCTTCTTCTTCTTCTTCTTCTTCTTCTCTTCTTCTTCTTCTTCTTCTTCTTCTTCTTCTTCTTCTTCTTCTTTTGGCTAGGCAATGGGGTTAAGTGACTTGCCCAGGGTCACACAGCTGGTAAAGGTCAAGTGTCTGGTCTGAGACCAAATTTGAACTCAGGTCCTCCTGACTCCAGGGCCAATGCTCTATCCACTGTGCCACCTAGCTGCCTCCCAAGGCAGAGTTCTTAAAAGAAATCTCTGCTCTGTATGTATTCTTAAAGAATATAGCTTCACCGTATTGTGTTGCTTTAAAGTTCACCCATATGAATTGAGGACATAACAGTAAATATCCAAGCTGTTGCCCCACATCTTTGAAGAAGAGCCTGAAAAGCGAGATGATCACTTTTGGTTCAGTGTTTCACAAAAGCAGAAACCCATAGGGGGAATTTGGATGGAACGAGTGATAGGCAGTGGAGTGACAACATGTGTCTATTCATATGCTATAGAAATCAGCTGGAAAACTGCAGACGTTAAGAATATAGTTAATATGTTCAATCACACTGCAATATGGCAGTCATTTGAGCATCACAACTCTTTCTGCTAGAAAATCTATCAAAATACAGATGGCATAAAAAGCTGGAAGTTTGTGTGCCAGATCATGAGAATGAGTTTTCTGCCTTTAATTGATGCTCTAATTTTATAAGAACATGCTGATTAATGGACTACTGAATTCTAATCAATTCTTAGCCCTGCTGAACATCTCTGGGGATATTTGCAATGGACTTGATTCATCACCCCCATTTAGACTGCCCAGCCTTCATACGCTCCTTTAAAGAAATGACCGGCTCTGATTAACAGCGCTTTCAGACTTCTAGCCAGGCATACGTTTTTCAAGCAGCTTGCTCAATATTGGAGTGTTAACAGTTCAAAAGTGGCATCTGAGAGTAAAGGCAAAGACTGTCATTCTATGGCATTCTTGGAGGGAAGATTCCTTCCTTCTTTTCTCTCCTTCTTCTTCCTCCCTGTTTTCTCACTTCCCCCACACCCTTTTCCCTGAAAGGGCTTCTAAAGTTAAAGGATGAAGATGAATGATATTTGGTACCTCTGTAGCTGAGGCATTCAATGCTATACAGTCCTTGCATGCTTTTATTAAATTTCTATACAACCCAATTCCTTAGCCTACTCCTGCTGTTTGGGTGGTGATGCATCATATTCTAGCGTCAGTACCTGCTGCAGTTTTTAAAAGAGAGTGTTGGAACCTGGGGTGCGTGAAATGTTCAAGACATTTAGCTTCAATAAATTACTTTGTGCATCTTTCTTTTATGACTCATTCTCTAAACATATATGAAGAGTTGAGGCTGGTTAAAATGGCTTTAGATAAGGCATCAGCATTTCAAGGGGAGTCACTGAGCAAAATCTGAAGTGTATAAAAACTACTGTGTGTGGAAAGTAGAATGATGCCTAGTTATTGTTGTGAAATATAGAAAGTGCACTGTAAATTATCCAGGCAGATCCACATTTTTGTTGACATAAGCAGGCAAAGAAGGTGTCCAAGTACCCTGTTGACATTGTTCACCATCTCGCGTCTGCTTTTGTTTCTCCAAGGAGTCTGGCACATGCTCCCTTAAACCAGAATTCTTACTTCTCTCCCCTACCAAGTGAGATAATGAACCAGAAAAAAACTGCAAGTTGAGAGGGAGGACCCTTCCGTTTTGCTTCAGTCTGAATTTTGTTGCTGTTTATCTGGAGAGTGGGAAGGGAATGGAATCAGGAACCCCAAAGGAAAACTGATCAAAGTTCTTGTCCTTCATGAGTTGCTTCCCCAGTGTTTCTTTTTTGAGGTGAAACCTCGCTGGCTTTGATTGATCTCCAGAGCACCCATCTCCCCAGGCCATCATCCTCACCTGAAACTTGGACTCAGTCATAAACTGGAACCACCATAGGCTCAGCTAGATGAGCTTTTCTTGTTATTGTTGTTGTTGCTTTATCGAGACCAGTGCAAGGCCTCCACAGCATTTCCTCACCATCTCCAGACATCTCAAGTACTTCCCCTCCCTTCTAGTTTTCCTCTGTGGGTTGTCTTCACCCCCATTCGAATTCCTTGAGTTGCTTGCTTGTGTCTGGACCCTCTACACTCAGTATGGTACATTATAGTATTTACTTGGTACATTTATTTCTCAATGTTGGTTATATGCTGTCCTTAAGTAAAATAAGCCATTATATTTATGACAGAAAGGACACTACAAGCCTACCCTTCGGGCTTGCTGGTGAAAGGTGCCCATCAGCTCGACTGATACACTTTAGCCATGGTATATGTACAATGAAGGCAGATTTTTAGTTACCACTATTTTTTTTATACTTTTAAATGTTTGTCTAATGCTCAGCCTAAACCTCTGCAATTAATGATAGACAGCAAACTTATTGTTATATCACCTCTAGTTAATTTCTCAATCATTGGTGGAGGCATCCACAAATCAAGTTTGTGAGTTCTTCCTATCCCAGTCTTTTTGAACTCAGGAACAAAGGATGCTGACTTTGAGGTAGGCTGTTAGGATACAGGGCAAATGCAACATCAGTACTGAAAAGGGCAGCTTTGTATTAGCAGCACAAGCTGTTTTCCTGCTTCTTCAAATAAATGGATGTGTTGGGTTTTTTTTCCCCAGGAGCTGTAATCCCTATTTTCTTTGACTTCCTTCTCTGGCTTTTCATGTCTTTCCCAGGTCTTGATGACTGTGTCCAACAATACATTGATAATTTTGAAGGTGAAAACATCAATGGAGAACAGCTGCTACGCATAACAAATCAAGAACTTGAGGATCTGGGAGTGATCATTCCTGATCACCAAGAAAGAATTTTAGAAGCAGTTGATTTACTGAGTATATTGGTAAGTAAAAATTGGCCTACTTACATCTCTTGTGTTGTTAGTTACTTAAAAATCACTTAAAAGTAAGAGCTCTATGTCTCAGGGCATTTTCACCATTCAGATTCATAGATGGTAATTTGTCATAGTGCCATGGCTGAGAAAGGGAGTGATCCCCACCCTTATTGCCCTGGGGGATCTTAGCTAGGGTGTACAAGGACAAAATATACGGGAGCTTTTTTGAAGGAACTTAGGCATGGCCTGTCTAAAGCTGCTGCCTCGCAGCAATTGGTTTCAAGAGTGGCCTCATAAATCAGCTTGGGAATCCCTGTGAAATCAAAGCAGAGGATTCTAGAAGGAGGAGGTGAGAGAGGCTGCCACCTTTACTAAAGCTTACGATGAATCAAAGGATGAGAAGGGAGTTATTGAGACTAGACATGAGATCCCAGGCGACTGTCTCTACCCCTAGGGATAGATTCCCCCTGTGTTATGTTGTGGCTGAGTCAATAGCATTTTCTGTGAACCCAAAAGACATTTATGAATTGAGAACTTAAAGTGTTTAAATATTTGCTTAAATTTTTAAATATTTGTTATTTTAACAAAGTGCTTTTTAATTAAAATAATATTTATTAATTTTCAACATTCCTTTAAAAACTTTTGAGTTCCAAATTCTCTTCCTTCCTCTAGCCCCTCCCCCACCCATTGAGAAGGCAAGCAATATAACATCAGTTATACATGTGGAATCATGCAAAACATATTTCCATGTTAATTTTGTTGCTAAAAAGCAAGAAAGATAAAGAAAATGAAAAAATTATACTCAATTTGCTCTCAGAGTTCCTCAGTTCTCTCTCTAGAGGTGGATAGCATTTTTCATCATCAGTCCTTTGGAATTGTCTTGGATCGTTGTATTGATTAGAGTAGAATAGCTAGCATTTATATAGAACCCACTGTGTGCCGTGAACTCTGCCAAGCACTTTACAAATATAAACAAAGTCTTTTAAATGTGGATTTATCATTTCACATAATCACAGAATCTTGAAGTTGGAAGGGAATTCAGAGACTATGTAGTCCAACCTCAAATTAAGCCAGGATCCCCTTTTCAGCAGGTCCAACAAATGATCGTTTGTATATTCAATAAACATTTCTATGCCTAATATGTGCCAGGCACTGTGCAAGGAATACAGAGATAGAAATCAATCAGTTTTTTCCCTCTATGAGCCCACATTCTATTGGGGAGGGCAGACTGGAAACAGCACGAAAATAGACATTAAATACAAAATATGAACAAATTAATTTCGGGGGGGAGGGCACTAGAAACTGAGGTGAGGCAGGGAGAGAGTCAGGAATTGCTTCCTGAGGTACATACCACTTGAGTTGAACTTTGCAAGAAGATAAGAATTCTAAGAGGCAAAGCTGAGAAGGGAATACAACCTGTGAAAAAATATGGAGATGAGAGATGATAACAGTAAGTGGGTACATAGAGCTGGTACATAGAGAGTATCAAAGCAAATAACATATGATAAGCTTAGAAAAGTAAGCTGGAGCCTTATTCTAAAGCTTTTAATTAAAGACCTCCAGTAAGAAGAATCCACCAAGTCAACTCAAATAAACAGGAATTTATTAGACACCTACTGTGTGCTCAGTGCCAGGATTCAAATAAAGATTCTCCTTCCCCTTCTCCCCCCCAAAAAAACCAGACCCTGCTCTCAAGGAGCTCACAGTCTGATGAGGAAGACAGTGTACATGATAACTGGGAGATAATCAAAGAGGGAAGGGTACCAGCATTAAGGGGGACCAGGAAAGCCTTCTTCTGGAAGGTAGAATCTTAGCTGAGACCTGTAGGAAGCCACAAGATGGAGATCAGGAGGGAGAACATTCCAGGCATGGGGCACAGTCAATGACAGAGCGTCATGTGTCAGGAATAGCCAGGAGGCTGCTGTCATTGGATGACAGATTCAATTGTTAAGGATATTAAGGAGACTGGAAAGGTAAGAAAGAAGAGGCTAGGTTTGAAGGGCTTTATGAGCCAAACAGGGAATCTTATATTTGATCCCGAAAGTAACAGGGAACAACTAGAGTTCATTGGCTACGGAGGGTCATGGTCAGATCTACATTCTCAGGAGCTCCCTTTGGCAGCTGAGTGTAGGATGCTCTGCAGTGGAGAGAGACTTGGCCAGGGAGATCAACCAGCAGGCCCCCTGGAATAATCCAGGCATGAGGTGATGAGGACATGCTTCAGGGTAGTGGTAGTGTCAGAAGAGAGAAACAGGAATATATGAATAATGGTACAAAGGCAGAGTGGACAGCACCCGCAATTGATTGGATGAGGAAAGTGAAAGAGAATGAGGAGATGAAGGTGACACCTAGGTTGTAAGCCTGAATGACAGAAAAAGAAAAAGGAAGAAGGGGGTTTGGGGAAAGATAATGAGTTCACTTTTGGACATGTTGAGTTCAAGATGTTTATGAAACATCTAGTTTGAGATGTCTGATTGGCAGTTGGAGATGAGAGACTGTTGGTGAAGTGATAGGTTCGAGCTGGTTGAGTAGATCCGAGAATACTCTGCTTAGAGATGATAATTGAATGTGTGACGGCTTATGAGAGATCATCGAATTTAATAGCTTAGAACGAGAAGAGAAGAGGGTCCAGGACAGAGTCTTGGGGATACCCACTATTAGTGGGCATGGCCAGTAAAAGAGACTGAAAAGGAGTAGTCAGAATGGTAGGTGGAGAACCCGGGCACTGTAGTGTCCTGGAAACCTAGAGAAGAAAGTGATCAACAGTGTAAAATGCTGCAGAAAAAGCTAGTAGATATGGCAATGAAGAGTTCGGATCATTGGTAACTTTTGAGAGAGCAATTTCATGATGAGATCAGAAGCCAAACTGCAGAGAGCTACACAAGGAGTGAGGAAAGAAAGTGGAGACACTGATTATAGATGAACTTTTCAGGGAGTTTAGTCATGAAAAGGAGGAGAGCTATAGAATGATAGTTATCAAGAATGGGAGAATTTTTTTTTGAGAATTGGGATTGCAGGCAGTGGGGAAGCAGCCAAGAGACAGGAAGAGATTGAAGATTAGTTAGACAATAGGGATGGCAGTGGGAACAACTTGCTGGAGAAGATCGTATTGAGTGGCAAGGCAAAGAGTCACCTCTTCATGTGAGATGGGAGTGAAGGATGCGTAATGGGGAAAGACATCTTTTGATGTGAGATGAGGGCTAAAGAAGAGGGAGCTCTCGGAGAATGGTCTTGATTGTTTTCAGTGAAATATGAGCCAACCTTCCCAGCTGAGAGAGTGAGCGGGGGGAGGGGATCAATGGGAGGTTGAAGAGGGATGTTGGGTGGTGAAATGGATAGATTTCTGGGTCTAGAGTCAGGAAGACCTGAGTTCAAATCTGTTCTCAGACACTTACTAGCTATGTGACCCTGGACAAGTCACTGCACCTCTGTTTGCCTCAGTTTCTTCAACTGCAAAATTGGGATAATAATATTACCTATTTCCCAGGGTTGTTGGGAGGATCAGATGAGACAATATTGTGAAGCACTTACCCAGTGCCTGGCACTTAGTAGGTGCTTAATAAATGCCATCTATATGGAAAGGTTTGGAAACACTGCTGTGGTTAAGTGGGATATCAGTTAAGTGAATCAATTCAGATTATGAAACATAAACTTTTAGTGGCCCTAGTCAGCAGAATTTCATGATTTTTTCCAGCTTCGCTCAGCATCCGTGAGTAGGAGTAAAGGCAGTAAAATAAGGTAGGAATAAAACAAGGCTGAGACTTGGTAATGCAAAATTGGTGATCTAAGGAGGCAAGGGGTTTCAGAGAAGAGGACAGTGGAGAGATGAATTGGTTCACTAAGGGATCGAGATGGTGAAGGGAGGAGAGTGGAGCCAGTGAGGGTTGATGGCCTGGGAAAGAATTGATGGTTATGGTGAAAATGAAGAAGAGAGTCAGGGGTTGCAAGGGAGAGGGAGAGGTAGAATGCCAACAGATTATGATCAGATGAGGGAATTATATAGTGCCCCAAGGTGAAAGTGGTGCATTTGGGGGTGATTGCAAGACCAAATGCATGGCCATTTTCAGGTGTAGCTGAAGTCATGGGAAATGAGTAAGTTGAGGAACTCTGAGGTGAAGGTGTTTGAAAAGGAGTGTCATTATGTGTTCCCTGGTGTGAAGGTAAGAATTGTGGAAGAGAGAAAGACTGAGCTAGGCACTGACCTCATTGAGAAAAAAGGGGGTGTCCCCGAGGTCAGTAAGCCATCAGTTATAGGAATCTTCACTGGCTGGTAGATATGGATTGGGTGAACCTCAAAGGAGGAAACATTCCAGTGTGATGGTGGGACAGGGAGAGACCTCTGAGCCTAGCAAGGAGGTAGTAGGAGTATTTTAACTGTCTTACCATAACCAGGGAATCTGAGGCTAGGAGTCAACGTGCCACCAGTGCTGGGAAGGGGAGCCAAGGAAGCTGTGGCATCAGGAGGGCTCCAGGGCTTACTGAGCCCAAGAACACAGAAGGAGTGAGAAAAGAAAAGTAACTCCTCCCACTTTTATACCAGTGTAAGTGTTAGGAAGTTCTTCTTTACGGAAAATCTAAATCTGCGTCTCTGTAGGTTCTACATATTGTTCTTAGTGCTAACTTATCAGAACCATGCAGAACAAGTCTACTAGCGATCAATTAACCAATAAACATTTATTAAGCACCTACTATGTACCAGGCACTTCTTAGAGTAGTGGCTAGGTGGCTCAGTGGAAAGAATATTGTACTTGGAGTAAAGGGGCCTTGAGTTCAAATCCTGTCACAGATAGTTACTAACTGTGTGACCCTGGATAAGTCATTTAACCTTTCTTAGCCTAAAGATAACTTGGTTTCTTCATCTGTAAAATGTGGATAATGATAGTGCCTACCTCACAGGGTTGTATATGAAGTAGCAAATGTATAGTGCTTTGCAGATCTTAACATGCTATGTAAATGCATTTCTTGAGGAAACCATCTTTGTGGTTTGTGATCACTGCTCCCCTCTCTTG